CATCCCAGTCCCGCCCCCTCCAAAGAAGAGGCGGGAACAGCCGGCGCCCGCCGCGGCCGCGTGCCATGTCCTGCAAGTGTGCAGCGGATGTGTAAAACCCCACGAAGCCGACAGGGTGGCTGCGCGTGCGGCGAACTGGCTGCCGCACGCAAGGTGTCCCCAGGTGCCCCCAGGTCCTGCACTGACCTTCAGCGTGTCACTAGTGCTGCGTGCTCGTCTGCCTTCGAGCGCCAACCGTGTGGCGTCGACCCCCGTTCCCCCGTCGCACACTCGTGCGTGGTTGGCTCGAAATCCAAGCCTCCCCTGGCGCCAGGCGGCGCCTGTCCCGTGTTGCTAGTGGGTCCCAGCTGGCGCGCAGTGCGCGCGTATGCCATAATGGGCAGTGCGTCGGTATGCACATGGCGGGGTTGCAGGTCACTGGTTGAGCCGCTCCAGGCTAGCAGCTGCAGGCAGCAACTCGATATGTGGCGCGGTGCAGGCGGCCAGCACCAGGATCGGGGCAGCTGTGGTGAGCCCCTACCCGTTGCGCGGTGAGGCCCGAGGAACACCAGCCCCGCGCGCCAAGCCAAAATTATAAGTGTGGAGCGGGGAAGCCAGCTGGCGTACAGACAGGTACAAGTTCAGCATGCTCATGGCGAAAGTGTTGAAGGCCGCGCCAATGCGTAGAGGAGGTGAGTGTATGGTAGGCCGACTGCACGTGTACAAAGTAACATGGGGCACCCGCAGATCTTGACATGTTGAGGCCAAATGCATCATTTGAGCCTCGTCAGGTTGACATGACTGGTCTCATCTGGGGTGCCTCCAATGGTTGGAAGCACCCCTTCCGAACAGGGAGCAGCAGCAGCAGCAGCAGCAGCAGCAGCAGCAGCAGCAGCAGCAGCAGCAGCAGCAGCAGCAGTAGCAGCAGCAGCAGCCGCAGGCCTGAATCTGGAGCCCCCGCCCCAGCACCAGCGTTTGCAAATGGTACCTGTAGCCACCAGACTGCCTCACCGTACTTATCGCCGGAAATAAACTGTGACAGCATGTCAAGCCAGCCCGCCTCACCGGCACGCATTGGCAACCTCCGCCTTGACCGTGCCTGCGCCTGCTGCAGCAATAACCAACACTAGCAAGCCCCTCCCAGCATGCCCTTTTCAAACTTATCAGCATTTATGGCGGCCTGTTGGATGGCCACACCATCTGGACGGGAGGGACGTCGCTCGTCTGAGTCGCACGCTGTGCTGCGCATGCTATGTCCTGAGCATGTGAAACCACCACCACCACGAACACGTCCTGTCTCAGTTACGCGAACAGCCGTTATTCCGCCGCCGGGCTCTTCAGCTCTTTACGTACACAGCGAGCGGCGTCAGGGCATCCAAGGCTGAACAGCAGCATCTCGAGTACACATTGCATGCGCGCTGGCAGCACCGGCATTGTACAATTACTGTCATAGATTGTAGTATCATAAAATAAGATGGGCCCTCGGATCTGAGCAAACTTGATCTGCGAAGGTGGCATTCAGCCATGGCCGGGCAGGGAGATGCCCACGGGCACCTTCAATTTCAACACACGCAGCTGGGGGTGTACCTTGTTGGCATTTGTGCGCTGTTGTACACCGTCGGCGAGAGAGGCCAGGTGTGATTCGTTGCCGCGCGCTCAGCGCTGTGACAGCTGAGTGGCGGTGCACGGTGCACGCGGCGCCACGCTGCAGACGGGCGCTCTGCGCGGATGTACCACGTGTCTAGAATGCTCGCTAAGTGCATAAGCAACCCAGTGCTTGGGCAGGGCGCTCGGGCATGCGTGCATGGCCTGTTGCAGCTGCCCAATGCAGGGGCGTCCTTTGTGTGGCCGCCCCGTGGTCGCTATTTCGGAAAGGGCTGCAGCCACCCCATCAGCACGCCGTATCGCGACACACCCACAGGAGATTGTATCCAAATATCACCTCCACAAGCGATGGTATTACCTATATGGTGAGGAGGCATCCCAGGTACCCGCCATCCAGCAGCTGCCCGGGAAGCTGCCCGCCCCAACCACCCGCAGCTCCCACATGCGCCCCCAGGCGGCAGCAGACGCGGGACGGGCAGCGCCAGGGGTTGCCCCCGTCGCAGGCACACAGCTGCATCTTGGTCGCACGACCCGAGGGCCCGCCCCCGCCGGCTGGGCAGTCGAGGGCTGGGGCTTCTTGGCCCCGACCTCCTGCTTCGCCGCCGCCGCCTCACGCAGCGCCCCCTGCCCCCTCGACTTCCCGGCCCCCAGGCACCCTGTGCCTGGCCGCCTACCTCTACATGCTGCCATTCATCAGGCGCGGCTTGGGGTCCGCCCACAGGTGCGCAGCGGCTTCCGCCGCGGTTGACCGGTTGACCGGTTGACCGCCCGATCTTGGACGACCACCCGCCGGGCGCGGCGCGGCGCGCGCCGACGCGCCCCAGGGGCTCGTCGCGCACGGTCCGGGGGCTGAGGCCGCTGGCCCCGCGCTGCGTGCCGGGGCGGGTGTGCGCGCTCTGCGGCGAGGTCGCGGCCGCAAGGCGAGCGCGGCGGTCCCCGGCTCGCCGCCGCACGCTGCAGCGTCCTTCCGCGGGGCCTTCGAACAAGTCTGCGTCGCTCATGTGATCCATTTTTCCTATTGCAGGGGCTACATAAACTTCTCGACGGCTTACATCGGGTGGCTCATGCTGGCGGTGAGGCGCGGCCGCAAGGCAGACGGGCGCGCGGCTGCGCGCTGCACGAGAGAGGGGCGGCTGACAGAGGCGCAACAGGCGCAACGCGCCGCGGCGGGGGGACATGACGCCGGTTGGGGGCCCTGGGGCACGCCGCGCGCCCCCATGGCTTTCATGGCACGCGAGGTGCAATCGCCCATCCTGCGACTCGCTCTGCGCGCCCTCTGCGCCGCCCGTGACGCCCGGTGATGTCATCCGCCCCGATCTCCCCCCCCCCAAAGGTGTTCTACCACCTGCCCTCCCTGGAGACCCTCGGGATCGACGTGCGCGCTGACGTGTCGCTGGCCCTCAGCGTGGCCTGCTATTCGGTCGCGGTGGGTGCTGGGTGGTTCTGCTTCCTGGCCGCGAGCTCGGGCCTTCCCCTGGGGGCGTCCTGGGGGATTCCTGGCGTTTTATTGTGGGCTGTTCTTGAAGTGTCTTGGGGTTGAGGGCTTCGGGGCTCAGGGCAGGCGGCGGCGGCGGCTCAGTAGGCGGCGCGCTGCGCGCGCGGGCCGGCCGGGCGGGGCAGGCCGGAGGTCGAGGCGGCGAGCCGAAGACGGCGGCCCGCGCGCCGCATGCAGACGCCCGACCCCTGTTTTCCGACGACCGGCCCTGCCCCCGGCCCCCCCTGCCCTGCAGGTGCTGGGTGTGCTCACCGGCCTGCAGCTGGCGGCGGTGCGCCTCGGCGTCGCCCCGCGCGTGCCCGGCGGCGCCGTGGCGCGGGAGATGTGGACCGCGGTGATCTTCAACTCGTGCAGCCTGGCGGTCAGCTGCACCACTTATTACAGCCTCTGCGGTGGGCTGTTCGACAGAGAAAGGAAGCTGCCGGGAAGCTGCCCCCGGGCGGGTTGCGCGATACCGGGAAGACCGCCTCTCGGAGGGGCCCGCGTCGGCGGGCCATCTCTGGGGAGTCTCCCTGATTCGATGCGCGCGGGTTTCATTCTGAGTCTTCCCCCCCAGCTGCCAAGCTTTTGTACAACTGAAAGCCCTTAAGCGGCTCCACGTGCTGCCCGCCCGCGCCCGCCGGCGCCGCGCCCCGCGCTAAACCCTGAACCCTGAACCCTGAACCCGCGCCGCCGCAGGCAACGGCAGCGACGACGCGCTGCTGTCGCGCGGCGCGACGGGCGGCGCGATGGGGCCCGCGCGGCAGGCGGTGTGCGCAAAGTGGCTGGCCCCGATCCTCACGGCGCAGTACCCCAAGTTTTCGGCCTGGATGCTTGTAGGTGAGCGGGCGCTGGGCTTGAAGGCCCCAGGGTTGAGGGATCCGGGGATGATTTGTTGGGGGGCCCCAGATGTTTGGGGGCCAGGATTTGGGGTCCAGGGATCTTCCTCCCAGAAGCTGAACCCTGACGGCGGCGTCGAGGAGCCGGCGGGGGGAGTCTGGGGGGGCGTGGGGCCGGGGCCGATCGGCCGGGCCGCGCGGAGGGTGCACGGGGCGTTGGTTGCGACCAAGAGTGCCCGGCCCCGCGCGATTCCGCCCCGGTGGGGTGCGTCCCGCGCCGCGTCGCGGCTGACATTGTCGTCGGCCTTCCGTTGACCGCAGGCGAGGGGCCCGAGGCGCCTGAGGCGTCGCGGCCGCAGTACATCACCATCGACTTCCCACTGGACGGGCTGGGCGCCATGGCCATCCCATCGGGTGCGTGGTCGCCCGCGTGGGGGTGTTTCGCCGTTGAGAGTCCGCCCGAGCGACCACTTGGGCGAACGGCGACGGATTCCCCAATGGGGGGCTGCGCCGTTGGGCCTGCCAGACGCAAGCATGCGCTCACCGCCCACGCCACCTGTTCCCCCACACCCTCTCCTCACCCCAAAAAAGGCCGCGTCATCAGCCCGGTATTCACGATGTGGGTGACACTGTTTGCGCTGTACCTCGTAAACATCATCGCCGATTACGCGGCGGCGGCGACGATGGAGGC